GCTTTTTTTTTTAATAAAAAGTGATATCTTTTTATGTATATTTGATAGTAACTTTTAAAAATCATTCAACAACTTTTAATTCAAAGTCTTTGAAGATTATCAAGCAAGCAAAATTATAATAAGCAATAACATTTCCATGTTTTTTCACGCATAAACAAATGGGTAAATTTATGAAATTAATAAAATATATATATTTTTCTCTAACATTTATCGATCAATTTCGTTTAGAGTACTTTATGTATCATCTATCTGCTAATGAATATATTAATTATGTTTTTTGTCATGATTGATTTTTTAAAATTACATTGCAGTTATTTATACTGTGTATTCTTGTTTGCCGACTTATCGGCGCTCCAATCAGACCAGATTTTTTTCTATCAATGTTCACTCTTCCGTTGTAGGATGGCGTTGTTGGCGCCCAAACGCGCAGTACGCCATCTCTGGATTTATCCTTAAAACTCCTTACGGAAAGCCACGTGTGTCCTGTGCACCAGGCGGCGTGGCGCGTTCTCGTCAATGTCCAAGAGGGGGTTTTCACCTTCCTGTGTGAGTAGTTAGGATAGTGGGGATATGTACCTATGCCGTGCCCGCAACGGCGCAGAATCCCATCGATCATTCGTGCCGTTTCCCCGTGTTTCACGCCGCCGTGTATTGCGCGACGGCGTAGAGAGAGGAGTTGGCCACCGATGCTCCCGCCGACCCCCTGCGCGGCCACCATTTCGCCTCTGACACGTCCACCCATCCACCCCACCCAGCGCAAATTCCCCCTTCCTGTACGACGTGCTGAGTCCGTGACGGTTCGGCGGGCAATGCCGGCCGACCATCACGAGGCCTTACCTTCTCTATTATATTTATGTGGTGGCTTGCGGCCGGGAAGGTTTATGTGGTGTCTCCACTCTGTCTCGTGCCGCTCCTTTTTTCTTCTCCACCCTCCCACTCTGTCTCTTCTACATACATCTTCCTCCTAAAATTACTCTGCGAATCGCGTCGTCCGCGTTACGTCACAAACTTCTACCACTGCCCATAATTATCGATAAAATCGCATCAAATGTTACAATTTAAACGCACATCGTTATTTAAATTAGTGAACGTGTCTAAAATCTGAACAAAATTGAGATTTTTATGGTGTTTAATTGTGCGTGTTACTCCGCGGGCATTTGGAAACAGCAAAGTGTTCAGTGGATGACACCACGTGTCGGATGAGACCGATAAGTGTTCGCGCGGATGCTGAGTATCAGCCAATGAGAATGTAAAGATGCTGGACCGTGCTCCGGATACCGACGTCATCAATGCGCTACAAACGTGACCTTATCGCGCGCGCATTTGCTTGGACACGGTTCGATTCGGGCGGTAAATGACTTCCACGATTTCTTGATTATTCTACCCCATTAAATCTCAACTCTGATCCTTTTTCCTTCATTTTTGATTTTTTTTGTTATCATAATTTCCACGTTATTTTTCAGTCATAGTAATAAATATTTAATTACGATCCTTAATGTGTAGCAATATGCCTAAATTTAGGATATATTTTGTCACAGAAAGCAGTTGAACTGAATGTTCAGCCAGATTTTACACACATGAATGTTTATTTTATTATGATATTTGTCATATAATTATATACCCTTTATATCTTCTACTTTGATTAAGAAAAAACGTTTCTATCATATTTAATTCCAGCAACAAAAATAGTAGACTATGAATTATACGCGTAAAAGACATGGGATATATAGAAATACATAAAATTAAGTAGCACATTGCGCAATTAGCAAGATATATGTATGTATATGTATACAGATATGTGTATGTAGGCAATCCATAACATAACGGCATGTAATTTATTGTTTCAGGTAAGTGACATTGCAACGCCTCAAGCCTTGCGGAGCATACCCGTGTATCTTCCTTGTTTGGTATAATGTAAGCAGCTTATTTATATAACATTGTTTTAAACCTTAATGGCTTGAGCGAATGAAACAATGAAGATATAACATAGTGACCCTACGCTTTATTATATAACTTCCTCCCTTTTTAGTACATTTTTATGTTGCGTAAATTCTATTGTGCAGTAAATACAATGAATGAAAGATATTCCAAAAAGATAGAATTTGCTTCGTACCGTAGCACATTAAAGCCATAATTGAAATAATATTTATAGAACGAAAATAGCACTTTTATCGAGGAAAGTCTAACAATGCAATTAGGAATATAAGCGCTAAACGGAAAATATATTAAAGGACGCAAAAAAATACAAAAGCTATAAAATAACGTCATTGTATGTCGTTCACATATGTTATTGTATTAATTTTTAATCAAACCGCTCTATTAAAAATACACTTTTGTCACTAAAACTTTCATTTAATCGACAAATGATCGAGGGTGGAATAATTGCAATAAAATATAGTAGATGTCGATATAAAAATAATTATATATTTAATTTTGATTATTTTTTTATATAATAATTTTGCTTGATATTATTTTAATTATTCGATTTTTAGTTTTTGAGTGACCAAGTAATTTTTTTTACTACGTGTAGACATGGAAAACGAATGACTCAATCAACTTCTCGGTTTTTGACTTTTGACGATACAATCAGACGGAAAGAATACAATGGGGACAAAACCAGACGGGAAAATTCCGGCGAAAAAGTGGCAGGTATTTATAACTATTATGTCCTCATTGACACAATATTCGTTTCTCCTGTCAACGAGGTCGTTTACTAGCGGAAAACGTGATAAATGAATTGTATATTCGATACTCTATTGAATTCTACATCCTTAGAGGGGCAACCATACTGGCCTATTTCAATAGACTGACCTAATTTAAATGAACCCGTGAAGGCTAGTCACTAAACAGTGGTTTTACAAAGTCGCAGTTATAATCGTCGATCATTATTGAATGAATAATATCATTAAAATGATATTATTTCAGATTTTATTATTAGTTAGGCATTCTAATTATACAATATTATTATTGAATTGTAGAAATAAAAAATATTGAAAGCGCATTGCTCACTAATGCTGTTATTCTGCAATTACAATTAGGCGCGTTTCATTGGGCGATAGGTTTTCATTGGTGCACAAGTTAGGCTAAAGAAAAATTGATGCACACGTTTGCATTTAGATTGAAATTTATTCAAAGGGGATTTTTTACAAGATTACGGATTACAGAACAAGATTACTTCTGCTTTTATAAATTTAATAACATACGATGATATCTTACACATAAAGAGGAGCATACAAGGAAGTAGAAATTTATAAGCCTCCGCATAAATATATTAAGAACATGTGCATTTATATCATGACAGATTATCTTAATATGCACTTCACAACACGCAAATTCAAAATAGTCTCATCATAAAGGTGTAAATGAATCTAAATGAGCCATATTTAGTACACTGCAAGAAAATAAAGAATAAGAAGAAAGTAATAAGTTAAAAATGAACGAGAAAGGACGGAAAAGTAAAGTGGGAAATAAGAAAAAGATAACAAGTGAGTAAGAAAAAGTGAGATGGTTAGAAAAGAGCCTATAAAAGTTGCACTGAGAAGTCCTCGTCAACAACGGAACCAGGATAGGCCCACACACCCGGCGGCCCACAAACACGCAGCGAGATTAAATGCTTCATTAATATGATTAAAGTAAAAAGCTGTTTGAGTAATGAGCAACAGTGAATCATCTGCTAGTCGAGTCCACCGAACCGATGCATTACTCCGCAAGTTTTAAAGCTGATATTTTTATATTTTATTCGCGAAATTTTTGCAGCCTACATTAAAAGAGGAAATGAGAAAAATATGGAATCGTCTTCCATATATATTTTTGATTGTCGGATAGGTAATTGAAATTAACTTTAGATTGTCATTGATACATATCTGGATTTTATCACATTTGCTATACAGTCTATACAGCATTTTTTTTTATCAACGTTTGTGACTTGCAATATTTGCAATTGGCGGTATCGATAGAATGTCATCGTTTTATCATGCAAATGTTCTCGTGGCAATATACACTTTTCTTCCTTTGCTAAATGTTACATTCGAATATTCTGTTGATATGTCGTACGCGTATAAAATAAATAGAAATATAAAATAAAATCCGTAATAAAATAGTAAGTGAATTTTTTTAGTATACCAAAATTAGTATAAAACTTATTATCGATACAGAGAAAAATAATAATGCATTACGCGAACACTCAATATAAAAACATTATTTTAATTGCTCAAATATGCGCACCACACGTCGACAATTTGCGACAATAACAGTTGCAATCTATCGCTCAAAAGCGTCGCACGTCGTCGCGACGTATCACTTCGTTTACACGGTACACGTCACGTCGTTGGTGTTTGGCGACATGCAAGGTGCCCGTGGCTTGACGCAAAGTGCAAGCAGATGCGATCGGCGATTATGCACTTACAGCGTTACCGTATATAAACGGTGCCCGTATAAGCCGCGGTAGATATGCATACACCGCGGGTACATATAATGCGGTCCAAGACCACGAGGGCAATGCATCTTCCACGTGACATCGGAGCCTACACTAATCGCGCGACAATCTTCACCGCGGTGAGAAGAGAGGAACAAGGAAGACAAGAAGAAGAAAATCGCATGTATCGCTGCCCTCGGTGCGCCTCGCAAAGGAAGAAAGGTGGAGAAGGACAGTATCGCAAACAAGGAAAGTGTGAAGAGGGATGCAGACGCGAAAAGATAAGAATAAGAAGATTGAGAACGGAGAAGTGGGCTGTGTGGTGTCTTGCGAGCCTGTCTCCAGCGAGAAAAAGAAAAAGGACCGAATAGATAATAGTGAAAGAACACGGAAGCATCAAGTATAACAAATGTAGGAAAAAAAAGAAGAATGAAACGTCTATGTGTTTGTAGCAAAAAAAATCTAAATGTAGAGATACGAGAATGGAAAAAAAGCATTGAAATACCACGATGATAAATTATTTCCGTAAAGGATATTGCATTAAGAGGAAATAAGGTATTTTTCTCTATCAAGTTTTATATACGGATCATATCGTGTAATATCTTCGATCTCTTCGGGTTTAAATCGACTAGTAATTGATTCATCTACAAGATTGCCACTTCGCTGGGATTATTAATCATCGGACATTACTATTCAATGAACCATTTCATTATCCGGATGCGATAATGTCTAATTTCTTTAAAGATTATAATGAGACCTTGACAATATCCGCAAATTGCAGTGCCGCCTTTTACCGTGAAGCGAATGCATAATTTTTTAATTTTGAAGGGCCAGGCCGGGTGTCAAGAGTCTAACTCATATGACGGCCATATTAACGGCGATAAGAAATTGCGAAAACCGGCAGTTGCAATGGCGTTCTCTGTCGCATGAAACACCGCGATACGCATCTATCGAACGAAACTAAACTGCTATGTCGACCGCACACAGCAAGCAAACCTGTAATTTATTCCTCGGCGGCCGCGCACCACCCGACTCCAATATAATCATTATAATTATTGTCTCCCCTTCAAATGAGGCTCGATAATAATCGTTAGTATTTGTTACACGAGTCTACCACATTCGCAGAACCTAGGGATGATTTCTTCGAATTGCGTCGAGTCACTTTTCTCGTACTATAGTCGTCGGCAACTTGGAATTGCTCAAATTTCTGCACCCTCCTAGATATTTGTCTGTGATACGTAATAGTCTGCATGCGATTATTTTCTATATGTATATTAATAGATTCACCAAACACGAAACAGAGTTTAATTTTCTGCAAATATCTTAAATATTAAAATTAATATATGATGCAAGTAATAATGTGCATCAGCGTACTAATAATCTTAATAAAACTTATTATTTTTAAATTTTTATAATATTTATATAAAACAATTTTAATGCAATCTAAATTGAGGTTTACTTTCTTCTAAGCAATGCAAAGCATATAATTTGATTTTGTTTTCGACAATTGAAAAAAATCTTTCGAGTATTTGGAGAAATATGAAGGCAACGATGTATCATGAAATCCCGATCAGACGGACTCTTGATCGCGCCTCGTTAATAATCTGCATGTCCAGACACTCGCGTTGCATTCGTTTATCCATTGTTGCAGACGCGGCATTATAAATTGCGGCGATCCGTTTACCGTGTTAATTTGTCCGCTTTTCAATTAGCGGCCGAACGAGTTCGGCGGCAGCGAATAAATTGAGTGCCGGCGACGGCGGTCGCGGGGCCGTTCGTGACTTTCTAAATCCGCCACGTATGTCGACCCCTGCCGGTTGAATTGTCGACGCTGCGCCACTGATCGTGTTTTAAATTACGGCTTACGGATGAAACGAAATACTATAGCACTACTTTCTTCCGAACACCATATCATTACGAGATTCTCGGAATTAATTTTTTTGGAATCCTCCAAATTTTTTTTTCTTATGGTTTAATATTTTCACAATTGAAATAAAAGTTCGTTCGCTCTTTGACGACCACTTCGTAAATAACTTGGCACATATATCTACAACCCCGAAAAAGCTCGAATAGAATACTTTTCAAATCCAAGTTGGAAACTGTATTCCAAATTGCCAGTTTCTCATGTTTGATGGAGTTTGCCGTATGAACAAACGCATCACTAATTCCGAGGGGGATGTATATAACCCGATGTAATATTCCGTCATTCAAAAAGCAGTGCCGTGCTGAAGGCGAAGGTAACTTCGTGCCGGCCACCTGCAGGTAACCTGGGAGCGTCACGACGCCGCCGTCGCGACGAGTTACGACCACAAATCACGCGATTTGTAATTGCTACTATCAACTACACGATTTCACGTGGCGGTTTCTACCCGCACATGTGGATGGAAATCCATAAACATCGATTGTTCTGGCTTCGCAAAACTTAATATCGAATACTATGATAAAAAGTTTAATGTAATTTGTTTCTATAAAGTCATGAACAATTTTTAGGTCCGAAAATTGCGATCAAAATCCCGATACGTAATAGAGGAATGAATTTTGTTTATAACATAAACTTCAAAGCTTCGCAAAGCTAACAATTGCAGAGATTGTTAATATTGTTAATAAATAATTTTTAATCCTGCATTATGGAAGTATACGTAGATTGCAAATAATGAAATATAACATGATATAGCATGATTTCGCAGATAAGCACGCGAAATAGTATTGAACTCAATTTGAATAGCATTTGAATTAATTATCTATTAAGCCGATTATGAATCGGTTGCGAATCGAGTGATCGTAGCTATTACATATGTATATCAATTTAGATACTAAACTGATAATCTCGTACGTATTACCTGCAGAATTATCGCTATATACATTTATCAATATATCGAAAGCTCACGGAATATGAAAAACAAAACACACATTCCTAATATCATTCCTTCCCTCCGATATGAAGAAATAGAAATCGCTGATTACGACGTATCTCGGGACCTTCGTTACTTTACGATGATTATACACATGGGCGTTTCTAGTCCACATCACCATGTAGTATATCACGTACCGTGACAGAACGCGTTACCATTGTAACACGCTTGTTCCTGCGGCGATACATTACGTTACGTCCACGTCCCAGGTATTACTTCGGCTTCCCTTCTCAACACGGCTATATGGTGGCTTCGTACATGTAAGTCAGCTATGTTTGATTCGTTCGTCGACCGTCATGGTGGGCTACGTTAAAAGCTTTCCT